TGGAGCTCAGCCACAGTGATCTTTGGGTTCTTCTTTACCTCTCTCACCAAGGCTCTTCTCCCAGGATTGCTCTGTTTGGCTGGACGACCAGGTCTAGGAAGAGTTCTGGTCGTCCCAAACATCTTCTATTTAAGGATTATGGAGGCCACTGTGCTCTTAGTAACCTTAAGTGCAGAAGATATTTTTTGTAACCTTGGCCAGATCTGTGTCTTGCCACAATTCTATCTCTCAGCTCTTCAGACAGTTCCACTGACCTCATTTGCTCTGACAAGCACTGTGAGCTGTAAGGTCTTATATAGACAGATGTGTGCCTTTCCTAACCAATTTCAATCAGTTTAATTAAACACAGCTGGACTCCAATGAAGGAGTAGAACCATCTCAAGGAGGATCAGAAGAAATGGACAGCATGTGAGTTAAGTATGAGTGTCACAGCAAAGGGTCTGAATACTTATGACCATGTGATATTTCAGTTTATCTTTTTTAATACGTTTGCAAACATTTCTACATTTCAGTTTTTTCTGTCAAGATGGGGTGCTGAGTGTACATTAATGAGAAATAAAATGAACTTTTTTTATTTTAGCAAATGGCTGCAATGAAACAGAGTGACAAATTTAAAGGGGTCTGAATACTTTCCGTACCCACTGTAGATTTAAATGTTTAGTTTTGATTGGCAAATTGATGGTTTGAGATGACTGGAAGAAAAACATATACACGATTACATTTCTGACATGAATTGGACACCTCACATGCTGTAGTTTAAGCAAGAAAACAAAGGGCAGAACTTGGATTCTAAACCAAACCAAGTAAAGAAAAAAAAAGCATTTTTTACCTAAAGCTGGTGGAGTCCTGACTTTATTTCAACAAAAGTTTGGGGAGTAAAAGGTTATTGAGTATAACTACATCCCTGTTTTCTTTAAAAAAAAAAACGTAAATGCTGTAAACGTAAAAAAAAAAAAATACCCACCCTCTTTTAAAAACAGCTTTTTAAAGATCATCCTTGGATCTTTTAAAAACATATGCCTGTACTATTTTATCAGTGTGAGAATATGGTCTGATCTAACTTGCTATGGTCTGAAAATGTTTTGTGTAGGTGGTGAAGCTTTTCCTACAGTCTGGTTCCAGGTTTAGTGACAGAAACATCAGTGGCCTCACTGCACTAGAAGTGGCAGAGAAGAATATCATAGATCTGCTGTCATCTCTCCCAACATTTTCTGGTTTAGAGAAATTATCTGCAGATCAAAAAGAAGCAGGTGACCTACTGTCAACATTGAACGTCAATTCATGTGCATTATTTAGCAGGAAAATATCAGAATGCTTTTAGCTCAAAAAAAAATCACACAACCATATTTCGTGTGGAGTTTTGAAGCAATTGTTTTGAATATGTTGGCATTAGTTCTATCTACTAAAGGACTGGCAACCACTGTATTGATGTACAAGTTGTTTTTGTTGAAATCCCTAGAGACTTCCTGCCAAACACAGCTCTTCTGCAAAACTGGACTAAGATCCCGGCGGAGTTACTTAACAAATGTACCATCGAGGGCGTCAGGTAACACAGAAGTTGCCAGGGAGCCTGGTGACATTCAGCTAGGAAAAAAAGACAGAACAGGCAATGTGAGAGCTCTGTCGTCTCTAAATACTTGTTGTTTTTTTTACCAGAGTGATGTTTTGTGGTGTAACCCAAACTGTTGCTGTATGGAATTTTCTTTTGTTATCCAATTTTACCTGAGACATTTACAGGCCATAACAGTGATTTTGAATGCAATGGAAAGGATCCAGTCAAATATGTCGTCTTGGCCTCTGACAAGTCCAGAGGATGAAGGTACAGCAAACAGAAATTGTTCAGTACAGTCAGTAGGCAATTGTTCTTTTCTTAACAAGGGGGTTGCATCCTGTTAACCCCCCACTTTCACCAATCAGTGTCAGTCTGCTCTGCCCCGACAGAGAGTGGATCACATGTTTACAAAGCTGACTTATTTTGCTAACAAGGAGGACATCCTCCCGTACCCCATATCCTGCCTCAAATCACCTACTATGTACAGATTTTGAAAATAAAAAATCCAAAAAAACTTAAACTCTGTAAAGGTCACTTTTTGACAAACAGATAGAGGTTTGTTTGATGTTTGACTAGATCAGTGTGTCCTGCTACACTGATGTTGTATTTAATCCCCTCTGTGTCCATCAGTAAAAGAAAACAGTAACTAATGTTTCTTTTATTGCGTCAAGGTAAATATAGAATGTCTAAGCATGAAAAATAATACAAATATATTTGTAGGGCATTATTAATCATGCTGTGCAACCAAAAACCCCAAACTAAATGAATACAATGAATAATAATTCCTTGTCACTAATTCAAGATGTGATGTCTTACCTACCAGGGAGATATTATCACAGTCTAACACAGATTGAAGGTGTACTGAATAAGGTGCTCACCACACAGCATTTGGGGATGGATAAAGTTGCCCAGAAATCACGGTCAGTTCACAAAGAATCACAAAAGATCACCACTCTCAAAAAATTGTTTATTCTGTTATACCATTTATTATAAACCTGTGCTGTTTCTAGTAAATGTTGTGAAAATACTGATGTCAATTTTATCTTTGAAAACATTTTTTTGTGCAAAGATTAGGAACGTAGTTGTTAGTTAAGCAGTGCAATTAAGATATGTTTTTAAATTCAGCAAGAGGTTGGCCAAAACGTGTCAGAAAAGCTGTGCTCAGTCTGTTTGTCTTTCTTCTGCTAACCATTTTAAATGATCATTATTTGTTAAAAAGGTTTCTTAAAGAAGTAATTTAAGAATGAGAAAGATATTGTTCTAGCTGTTTACACGGTAGAATTATATAGTAATTATTTTTAACTTTTTTTCCCTAAAATATACATAAAATATAAATGATAGAAACAGTATATATATATTTTTGTATCGTATAATGAAGACTGATGTGGCCCTCAGCTCATTTGGTTTGATTTCACATGTCATGTGTTGAATTGTTGATTTTATTGCCACCTCTATGAATATTCCTTGAAACTAAATGGAAATAAAACTGCAACATTTTGTTTCTGTTTCAGGGGTTTGTCTGGTGTCAGGAAGTTGATGTGGAAAAATCAACTTGCGTCCCTTGTATCACATCAGAGGAATTTGGTGAAAATCCTGGAGAAGCAGATGCAATTAATAGAGACCTATGTAAACCTGACGGCCAAGACTTCAAGTCAGTTGGTCCACCATCAAAACTGTGTTGTAGTAGAAGAGCAGCCAGATCACTTCTCTACACAAATCTCCCCTAAACCAGGAAAAGAGCGAGGGACCTATCCACACAGTGGTCAGTTTAGACAAAACCCTCCCAGAATAATCGCTGACAAGAGAACTACCTTGTGCACTAATGGTCAGTACAAGGTTGGCAGCAGCTCTCAACACAGTTCCCCACAACCAGGAAATACCTCCCAACACATCTGCTTTCGAATTGCAGGAAAGAATGTGCTGATAGAGTCACAATGTAACAAGAACAGCACATCTCTCCTGAAGCTTATCAAAAGTGGAGTCATGCCACGTGGAGGTGCATTAAGGATGTGGATCAGGGTGGGACAATGTAGTTGTTTTCACTGAGCCGTTTCTGATGTATCTACTGTTTAGACTCCAAACAGAGGAACTCTGTACATGCTCTGGTAATGCTAGAGAACATAGGTCTGTGTAGTGCTGGTCACTTGAACATTACTTAACAGTCATTTTAATTATTTAATTTTCTTTGCCGATTGTGAGACTAAAAAGTACAAGAAGTTCTGAACTTTACGAGAGAAGAACTAAAGTTAGAAATAACTAGCTAATAACTAAATGTCATGCTTATTGTGCATGACATTTGAGACTGAGTTTCAAAACCCAGACAACTTACTCAAGTTGAAATGTCAACATCTTGTTGTTTAAATTAATGGCCAGTTTGATTTGCAGTTTTCTGCATGTTAAAACATGAGAATCATTATTTTCTTACCTCTGCAGGAAAGGTGGCACTACGCCCATGTGGATAATGATGGCTCAATAAGAGACAAGGAGGGTAAGATACACCTGACTCCAGAACAATGGGTAGAGTCTATCTTTGGGAACAACATCCCTATCTCATCACAGTACGCCAGGGACAGGGTGAGACATCTTTTCTATACAAGTTTATTGAAATTCATTCACAAAGCATTACAGGACAATATTAAAACCAAGCATCCTCAAATGTGCTCTAAAATACATACTGCATTAAATGGTGAAAGTCTGCCAGAGATGTTTTTCCTGTATACAGGTGCTGTTCAGAGGAAAGCATTTGTCTCATTATTTGTCCAGCTTGGAGTCTAATGAAAACACATCACAGACATACCCTGCTTCCTCTCAGAGAAGCCTTGACACTGGTATGTTTTCACACTGGGTTAAGCATTAATGTGCCATAAAAGAAACAGACAGATTATTATATAGCCCTACTCTTTATACCACCATTATTAGTATACAGTTTATGCATAACAGAAGACACTTTAAAGGTTACACAGGTAATGTGTGCTACAATATCTCTTTTCTTTGACTTTTGTTTTAATGTTCAGCCCAAAAAAATCCAGTAGGTTGAACTTATTTTTTTCTGAATCATATCCATAGGGAAGGTAATTGCTATGTATTTATATAAGGCATTTTTATAAGGCATCTAAAATATCCTAAAAAAATGCAATACTTTTATGAGAAACATAGATACATTTTTGAAAAAATAATTTCATCATAATTTTTCACCAACTGCCTAACATGACATGTGAAATTAGATTTTGTCATTAATTTAAAAAAAGAAAATCTACATTTTTTTTCCAATTGCTCTAATTTGCTGAGAAACACGCAAAAAAAAAGATTGTTTTTATTTATTTTTTTGCCCAAAATGTTCAATATAATATTTCACCATCTGACCAATATGACAAATATTACTGGATATTACTCAAATATTACTGGAACCCCTCCTCCCCAAAAAAAAGTTTCTCCAAATGCTCGAGGTTAGTGAGCAACATGCAGAAAAGATACAATTTTGAATTTAATCATAAATTTGCATCATCTGACCAACATGACATGCAAAGATTAGGATTTTACCAAAAAATTAAAGAAAAAGTATTTTTCTAAATATTTACTCAAAATGCTCTAATTTAATGTGAAGCATGCAGAAAAGATAACATTTAAAAAGATTTTTCCAAGAATTTTTATCATAATTTTTCACAATCTGACCAACATTACATGCAAAATCAGGATTTCCAAAAGAATTCCGAAGAATTTCATCAAATGCTTTCATTTGATGAGAAATATGCAGAAAAGTTAAAATTAAAAACAATTCCAAACATTTTCATCATTTTTCATGACATGCAAAAGTTAGATTTTTCCAATAATGCCAAAATGTTTTTTTTTTTTTTTTTGAAAAATTGTCAAAATGTTTTAATTTGATGAGGAACAAGTAGAAAAGTTTAAATTCCAAAAATGATCTTCAAAGTTTTTCACCTCTGACCAACATGAATATTGAATTGACTTGAAAATCCCAGAAATTGCTTAAAATGCAAGTTTATGCCCCAAAACATGCTGCCAAGTGAATAATTTGTGTTAAAAACTACAAAAACATTATATCTGAACATGTCAAAATATCACCAAAAACCAGTAAGAGTTTGATACATTGGGGTACAGCCTCAAATTGATAAAGTGAATTTTGTTTTTGAGTGAGACCTTAAACTGACATTGATTTGCCTCTTTTAGGTGGCTTGAATACATTTAGCTGCTGATGAGATCTGCAGCTAAAAGTATTCAGCAATCACACACACTTATTTTAACAGAATCTTAGGATTGATATTTACGGAGCCCCTATAGGGACATGGGGGTGGGGGGAGACGTATCTCGTACTCACGAGAAACCTTAGGTTAAGCACAGGCAGTTGTGCTTCCTGTGCCTACGCCCCTAGGCTGTTTCTTTCTTTCATGACTTGTAATCCATTATTGTTTTTATGTATTATATTATTATATATTTTTCTAATCCAATCTCGCGACATTAAAAATGTTTTAATTTCCAATATTTTCATTATTTTTGTGAAATATAATCATTTTCTAGCCTAAAAGGGAAAAGCTGTATTTAAATAAACTGTTGTTGTTGTTTCGACTGTACATATTTAACCTTCACGAACCTCCCTACACTGTTATCAACAGTAGAACAACAACAACAGTGCCCTCCTGTGTCTAACTGAGGTATCCTACATTAATTAAATGCTCACCATATATACAGTACATATGTCACACATGACATGCCAGTATCTTAAATTTCCCAACTGTACATGCTTATTTTTATGTATTAGCCTGTATGTATGTGTGGCAAAATGTCTTACATTTTTTCCCTTTTAGGCTAGATTATTATTATCTTTCACAAAAATAATGAAAATATTAAATTTAATTTCACAAGATTGGATTAAAAAAATCTGCGATGTACTGAGGAAGCGAAAGTAGAACCACGATAAAGAGAGGGACCACTGAACGTGAAAGTTATCACATAATTACATGAAACTTGTTACGAAATAATGTGAAACTTATCACGAAATATATAAAAATAATAATGGATTATACGTCATGAAAGAAAGAAAGAGCCTAGGGCCATGCGCCCAGAAAGCACAACTGCCTGTGCTTAACCTAAGGTTTCTCGTGAGCTCATGATATACTTTCTTGTGCTCACGAGATGCGTTTCTTTCTTTTTTCCCCCCCATGTTTCTTCAGGGGCTCCGTATTTAGGGGCTCTGTAGATATTAATAATATGAGTAATAAAGAAGTTGCAGTACAATTAATTTGTGGCTATAAGGGATTTTCTTACATGCGTTTAATATTCAGGTTCGAGTCCACCAGCTGCCAAGTCACCACTGAGGTGCTCCGAGCATGGCACTGTTCACTTTGGTGATGTGTTAAAAGCAGAGGTCATATTTCGTAGTGTGCAATGGTGTGTTGTGTCACAATGACAAGTAGTTCACTTTCCAGAGTACCAGATGAAGAAAAGCATCACAAAATACATTCATATGGAATCTGTATCCCATAAGATGTGTATATAGCTGTTGTTAAAATATAAATAGTTGGATGTACAGTTAGGAAGTGCCCTTTTCTGGAAATTAGCACTTTTTTATTACCGTAAATAAATACAGATTTTAAAAGCATACATAATGTGTGTAAATATATTACTTTTCTATGGTTAAAAATCCTCGAAAAGACTTGAAGCTGCAGGACTTTGAACACAAAAGAGCATAGCTACGTATTTTAAGTCAAATTAGTGCATTTCTATTACTTTTTAAGTTACTTTTGCTGTATAATATTTTACCATCCAAACTTTGTGATCCAAAGTTGGCGTACCAAAAACGTATATTTTTTCTGAATTTTAACTTTGAAAATGGACATAACTAAGTATTTTAAGGCAAATGACTGCATTTTAGTCATTTTTGAAGACCTTTTTTTTAAAAGTCATTTCAGGAATTTATTAGTATAGTATTTAACTGTGATCAAAAGTTGTCGAACCAAAAATGTATACTTTTTCTGAATTTTCACAACAGAAATGGACGGAGCTGTGTATTTTAATGCAAATGAGTGTATTTCTAGTCTACATTTTTCAGAAACATTTATTTTTGAAGACTTTTTCAGAATGTTACTTGTATAATTTATTACTGTGATCAATTGTTGATGTACCGACAAAGTATATTTGTTCTGAATTTTAAACATATAAAAGTGTAAAGCCATGTAATTTAAGGAAAATTAATGCATTCTTATTTATTTCTGAGAAACCTTTTTCAGAATCTTATTACTATAGTTTATGGCTGTTATCAACGGTCAATGCTGAATTTTAACCATAAAAAAGGACTATTTTTAAAAATTTCTAAAAAGCTATTTATTTTAAGGCAAATACAGAGAGTTAAAAGTACTTTATCTAGTTAAACTATATTTTGTTATGAAAAAAATACAGTACTTTTGGCACAGTATGTCTACCAGTTGTGTTCTGTTAAGGCGCATTAAATATTAAGAAATTATTTGTAAATACCTGTATGCAGTTGTGGCTTGTGAAATCCACTTAGAAAAAAAGTCTATTTCTTAAAACTTAAAACTTTTTTTTTTTAGGTAATGCGATCCCTTGTAATCCTAGTAACTTTTATAGTGTAGTATTTCAGTTTCTAACACAGTTAATTTTTGGGAGATGTGACTAGTAAGTATAACTAATTACTATTTTGTCAACACTGGTGAAAAGCCACCAGAAACCGTTCAGTGAACACAGTTCTTATCATCAGATCTAAATGTCTAAAACGTATTAAGCTGATTGACTTTATTATTAATAACATTACCAGTATTAGCAGTAACGGAAGCAGGATCAGACCCTGATACAGTATCCAGTTGTTCTAAGACAATTACTTATGTTTAAATAAGTTCACATTATTTTTTCTGTTTTCTATTGTTATCCATGTCACACGGAGATCAAGTGACTTCATATGCTACCGCCACATGTCCTTCCAAAATATTCCTTGCCCTTTTCTGCCATCCTGCAAAAAATATTTTAGATCTGCCACTATGGAGAAATGCTTTGGTGAGACATGTGGACATAAGCACAGCAACTCTTGCCTCCTTAGTATGACATACAACATATATTTAACCAACTTCATAGCTGCCTTGCCAATATCCAAGTTAGAATGAAACCAAATCTGAACACAGCCCTGTCTCCACTGACCGCAGCTTCTCAGAGTCCGACCTTTGACATTTCCTTCAGAGCAAGTTTTACACAACCAGATACCAGGCTGTTACTGAAGTCTTTTTAGGATCAATATTTAACCAACTCTGTCTTATACATACCTTTGGTCAGATTGTATGTGTCAAACCTGTTTGAAATGTGTCTGAAAGATCTCTGGTGTGTTTTCAGAGGCAGACAGTCTGACTTGTCTCATGAAGATCAACATGATTCATTTAGTGGACAATGAGGAAATGTTGCCAAATGCTGTAATGGACTACCACTGGGAGAAGCTGCTAAAGACAGACTATTCAGTCACCAAAGATTGGGACAGCTGAAGATCAAAACAATTTCTTCACATTTAGACTATTGCATGTGTGACTCATTATTATCAGACAGTAACCTGTTTTTTCATCAAAAGTGCTTTTACATTGACAAGCAGCAGGATGAAACACATAGACTTTAGAGGCGTGTTCAGGTAAAACCAGTTTCATTGCCAAATATCATCATCGTCAGAGCACAACGTCTGCTTGTTCTTTCTTTGTATTGAGTTTAGTTCTGTAAAAATAAAAAGCAGACACCTAGTGGGTTTAGTTATATTAGCTTTTAGGCTCATATTTAACTGTCTCATATGTGTAGAATATTTTTTGTTGATGTGTGGCACCACTGTGGCCTAGATAAGTTTGCAGTGTTTCATGTCTATTCTATTCTATATGGACCAAACAAAAACATTTAACTATGCTTGACATTTGCCTTAATTGTATTGTTGGTTTGTTTTGTTACATGGCCAGTTCTGCTGACTTCTACTGTTTACTGTTAACTTCTAACTCTTAACTTTACTACTTTACTCCTTTCATTTTAGACTTTCTGTGTTGAAATACACATTGTTGTGTGTTTTAGGTCTAATTAAAATGTGCAGACCATGTGTGATTACAAGGACTTTTTTTGGGGGTTGGGGGGTTGTTTTTTGCACTACACAGATGCAGTTCATTTCAAATAATTTATGCCCTCCCTGAAAGACGTAATCAAGATTTTCTGGCATTTCTGAATGGATTTTGCTTTGCAGGATTTAATTCAAATACACAAAGTAAATAGTTTTATTGGCCTTTGACTCATAATTAAAGTCTGTACTGTCTTAGGTGTATAGTAACCATAAACTAAAACGTCTGTACATTTCAAATTTGAACCTTTCCCTCCTAAAAACACACACACAACTCCTCATGCATTTACATACAAGCAGATGCAAATGGACATGAAGTATTAAGTAAAGTATGAATAACAGTCACACAAAGACGGCTACTCCAGTTCTATCTCACTGCTATATGTTGTTATCGAGCAGAAAATGCATCATAATAATGCTCATAGTCTTAGCTATAAAGTTTGGCTATTTACTTTCCTTGCTTAATTGGTTGCAAACTCAGCAATAAAATCTTTGTACTCCAGTTTGGATGCAGTGTCCTTTTTCTATAGATAACAGGGCAAAAGCCCGCACTGTGACATGGAGGTGTGCATATTCGAAAAGTCTCAATTCTTGGACGAGATCAGGTGCATTTCTAAGTCCTGAAAATTTCTCATGGTTGTTCAACGTCATAATTTGTTGGATTTGTTTTAATGCGACATTGACACAGGCATGTCAACAAATCATAGGTGATTAATGTAGTTGTAAAAACAAAAAACAAAACAAAAACAGCAGGACTGCAGGTGCAAGGCCCCCTGGTGGCGTGAGGCTCTATATTACTGTACAGTTTGAACTAACTGTTCGACGGCTCTGCAGGTAGTTTAAAACTTCTACCAATGTGTGTCATTGTTGCTTCTTTTTAGTGTCGGGGCTTCAAAAACATTAATTTACGAGCTGCTTTTATCATGGATTGGGTTAAAGATTGACGAGTGACAGGCTGCTACAGTAGGTGTGGGTGGACTCTACGGGCTGGTGGGCGGACTGTCGCCCGTCGTTCCCTCAACTCTGGAACGTAAACTGCAGCCGGACTGCAGTCTACGTTCCAGTACGCGATGACACCTAGGGATTTAGTTGATAGGAGCCGCAACGTGATAACTTTTTAGTTTAGTTTTTTGTTTAGTTTTGTATTTCTTGTAACTAATTTATGCTTCTTTTTATCAAGTGGAAGTCTGTGGACCAGGCGTGGTTTTGATGACATGTCTCTGAGTGTGAGGAGTCTGTTGGAGCAGGGAGAAGAAGACACGCTCCAGGACAACACCATAAAGCTATATATATATTCATTAATATTTATTAAAGAACTTTGTTCTAAAGTGGACCATTGCAGTAAAAAAGTAAAATGATTGGGCAGTAAGCAAAATGACAAAAAGACATTAAACTTCTACAAAACAGTTAGGTATGGCATCCCAAATTCAAACTGCTTGAAAAAACGTCTTTCATAGACTGTACCTCAACAAAAAATGCAAAAATGTGTAAAAGTTAAGTAAGTTAGTTTTAATATAACTAGAAGTTAGCTCAGAATTGTCTTCAAGCTCACCAGAATAGTATCAGTAACAGCTTTGAGATAGCAAAGAAAGGAAGCTCAACAGGACACAGGAGCAGCTGTTGATAAACTTAAGACGGAGTTTAAAATCTATAAAACAGATTAACTTCAGTGTACAGAAGTTTACTGTCCCCATGATAAAAACTTGTATTTGTATTTTATTTGTATAAATGTGTGCTCTAATGTACAAGAGAGTAAGTGGTTTAAACTAAAATGTATTTTATCAATGGACCCTCATCATAATTAAACTCAATTACAGCTAACTGTGTTGATTAAAGAATTAAGATGCTGTAATAATATTTAAGGTTATTTTTTGCAACAACCAGATTGTAAAATCATTAAACAAATCAATTGTTTCTCTGCTTCCAGAATGAAAAGACAATGTTCTCAGTACACACATAGATTGAGACACAGGTGCCTGCTGATTTTGATGTGTCTTCTGGCTGTTTGTTTACTGAAGCTGGTCTACATCAAAGTGACCCTGACGGTCAGTATCTTTATTGATCCTTATGGAATCACCGTCGACACACCCAGGCTTCACAACAAGTACAACATCAACTGCACCGCCATATATGAGCTGGACCCTGTAGAAGTCGGCAAAGCCCTGGAGATTAGGCGTAAAGCAATCGTAGACGTGGACGACAAGCGCATCGAGAGTTTAACTTCAGACTGTCACACTTTTATTAAGAGCAGAGCTTATGATGATATTCCAGTGACAGAAGCAGAGCGGAGCTTCCCGTTGGCTTACTCCTTGGTGGTTCACAAAAGTGCACCCATGGTGGAGCGCATCCTTCATGCCATCTATGCGCCTCACAACATATACTGCCTTCACTATGATCAGAAGTCATCTCCATCCTTCATTAGGACCATGAAAAACTTGGCGCGCTGTATTCCCAATGTCTTCATCACCTCTAAACTGGAGTCTGTAGAATATGCCCACATCACTAGGCTTTACGCTGACCTCAATTGCCTCTCTGACCTGCTGAAGTCAGAGGTCAAGTGGAAGTATGTTATCAACATGTGTGGCCAGGACTTCCCTCTGAAGTCAAACTCGGAGTTAGTGACGGAGTTAACACGACTGAATGGCAGTAACATGCTGGAGACCAGTCGACCCACTGAACTCAAGAAACAACGCTTCCTCTTCCAGCACCAGCTGAGAAACGTGCCCTACGAGTACAATCGCATTCCAGTCAAGACCTCCGTGGCTAAAGCGGGTCCTCCTCATGGTTTGGAGATGTTCATTGGCAGTGCATATTTCGTCCTGTCTCGGGACTTTGTGAATTACATCAGCAGCAGCCTAGTCGCCAGGGACCTTCTGCTGTGGTCTGTTGACACATACTCTCCAGATGAACACTTTTGGGCCACACTGGTCAGGTTGCCTGGGGTACCAGGTCATATCCCAAGGTCAGACCCAGATATAACAGATCTGACCAGTAAGACACGGCTTGTGAAGTGGAACTACTTAGAAGGGAAGCTTTATCCCGCGTGCACAGGAACACACATGCGCAGTGTTTGTATCTATGGAGCTGCTGAACTTCGCTGGCTCCTCAACTACGGCCACTGGTTTGCAAACAAATTTGACCCAAAAGTGGACCCTATCCTGATCGGATGTTTGGAAGAGAAGCTATTTGAAAAACAACAATCCAACGCAATATCATAACAAGGCTACGTCCGTTCATAAACGTTTTCATTCAACCTTAGGTTTCCATTGTTTTTTTGGCTGACATGGAATTTGTACAAATTGATTAAAAGGTGAAATAAAGCAGTGTATTGACTAAGGTTGACTTCCTAATTTATATTTTTAATCTTAAATATGGTAAAATAATTTTATTCCATACCCCGTTAAGTCTGTGTACCTGGTGTCATCTGTCTGTCAGTTTATTTGGTGTCCATAGATAATTTTTTATTATTTATACCATTATTTTTGAACCAACAGCCTGATCTGAAATACATATTAAAGTGTTGTTCTAAATCAACATCAACCTTTGTGTTTTAATGACATTATACAAGTAGTTTTACAAAATATATTTTACAAACTATCAAGGCTAAATGTTACACACTACGATAAAAAGTGCTATTTATTATGTCAGTAGACACAAGTTGAAATATTTTAGTACATTTTACAATCTGTTTTTTTTTTTTTCAAAATACATTCTTGATTAGTTATTGTATTTGCCAACTTTAATGTTGTGTGGATACATTTTTAACTTACCATTCTATCGTTGATTTCTACTACAACTGCACATTGTGTTCTTTGGTATCTTCTGCAGTTTCACTGTCTTTGCTGTTTGGACTTGGCCTGGTCTTTCTCTTCTGAAGGACAAAGGTTTAAAAGTACATGAACACTTATAATCTCTCATTTCTCTTTGTTTATCTTAAGAAGATAAACAACTTCTTAACAGTAACATGACCTGCAACATGTGGCCTAGTGACAGGATCAGATCTGTAGGGCTCGAGAGATTATTGCTCCATTTATTTAAACAAAAAATGACTCTCTTCCCCCAGGCCCATCATTTAGAGTTATATATGGAAAACAAACACACAAAAACTAACAAAAACCTGTCCTCTTACCTTAGTTTCAAACTGTCTATTTGGTTTATGTCTATTAGGCCCAACTAGTTCTCCACCTGGGTAAATTATGTGACTTATTACATATGTGCCCATGAACAGTAAAAGCCTTTCATCTAGACAGTCTAAATATCATACAAACAAACTGTGTCAAATATCTGCCAACAAACCATCCTAAAACTATATCAATTTGCTGCTAGTTTTGAAAAATTACCACATTTATGCTGCGCTCCATTAATTGACGGCAATCAATCCCTACTGTTAATGAACTAAATGTACAGTCGATATGCATCGTGTTAAACCTTTCTAAACGACTATTCACCAATTATTTCCTACTGTAAACACTGCAGCCCGGGTTGTTGATGAGTAGTGGTCCAACTGGCTGAAACTAGACCTGGTCATTGTTAATAGAGAGGTAATGTGAGACAAGGATGTAGTAGTGTTGGAGCAGGAGCAGATGCACCTGCAGGAGCAGGTGGTCACAGGATGCACAGCATCCACTTTCTGTATGTTTGGCTGAAGTCGCCTATTGCAGAAGGTCTTAAAGGAACACAGTAGAGTGTCAAATGACTCAAGCACTTCAGTGTTATTATGATGTACAGCTATGGAAACTGAAGCACTCAAATAGACTTTGACATTTTTCATGCTTGTTATAAACAAAGTATGATGTAAAAGAATACTAATACTGAAATACCGAATGGTCTCAGTAGGAAACAAGAAAGCCCAGTTCCCAGTTATATTACTTCTTAAGATTCCAGGCCAAAGATGCCAGTGGAATGATACATGTTCTTAGCTTAAGTTTTTTTGGCAAACATAGAGTAATGTTTAGGCTGTATTTTTTACATTTTATTTTGATACTTCACTTCTAACGCTGCCTATTTTTGCTATTTGCAGATGGTGTTGCCAAGTATTGTTAAGCTAATTTTGACCAAACCTGAAAAGTTTGGCTATTCAGTGATTCATTTTATCATACAATTTCACTCAGTTGGCCTGAAAACTGTTCACTTACTGATAATAATTTGTCTTGATTTCATGAAATTGAAAGTGTGAACCTCCAAAAATCCACACATATTGGCTGTATACATTTAGCCTTTCAGCAGTATGATCACCACAGTAAACTTTTGCCATTTCTTGCCCCAGGTCATGTCATTGTGTTACTTGTCCTTATGAAAACCTAGTTAAACATTTTATGAGCAACAAAGGTGTAGCTGTACATTACACAGCTTCAAACCTTTTATCAGGTTTTTCACATCCAGTCCCACACATTTCTGACCCTTCAGTCCTTCCTCAAAATGTCCTTAGTTTGTAATTAGCCCAGGCTTCCATGGCTGAAAGAACCACAGGGTCTAGAAATTCAACACAGGTATCACCAAGTTGGATATAGTGACTGCACTCTTGGTTCACTTCTCCTGAATATTTCCTGCTCCTCACAATCAACTCAATTCATGGCTGCACTGCAGGGCAGGCGAGGTTAGAAAGGACAGGTGAAATTTGAATACGAATCCTCTGCCCCTCCTCGCATGTCTATCCATCCACAGGTATACAATGAACAATAAGCTTCATTCTTTTACTGAGGTTTGGTATTTTGAACACAGTCCAAGTCAAGTGATTTATTTTTTCCTTACACCTTGCCACATTAAGAGCTTTTCAAAGAGGTTTGGCTGACTGCATAAACACACAAGTTCCATGTGTTCAGTGTTTCTTACATTTTTTCTAACATCAATGGAATTGAAAACCCAATAGACGATTGGTTAAATAAAACGTTTGGAAAATGGAAAACGATAATAATCTCTATATTCACCACATTGATTATTGTGATTGCACTGTTTGCTTTCTGTGGATGTTGTTGTATAAGAAACATGGCAGAACGAGTCCTTGAGAACGCAGTCGCAGCTTTCATCTTTGAAACCGACTATCAAAGACTAACAGGACAAGACCCAGACCACAATGGTCCTGATGGTGACGCGAAGATTGTTGACACTCGTGTACGATTCCAATGTTGAAAATCTGTTCGAAGTGACATTGTGATGACAAACTTGTGATGTGTTAACTTTGATAAACAGGAGGGAAATGTAAATTGAATTTATAGTTAGTGTGGTGAACCATAATCTGTTATCTAAGTGTGTTAAATAATGGTCTACTTGACAGGAGTAGGTACTCCTAAAAGGTTTTTTACAATGTAGGTCCATAAAGGATGAGGTCTGTTTCTCATCAAGTATGGGAATCGGATGAACTTTGCCCAAAGAGTACATACATAATGTAAAAACAACTGCTCAGTACTTATGTAACTTTCTCAATAAAAGGAGCTGCAGTCCTCATACACTTTGGGACTTAGGTGAGCTAACGCTGTGAAACTGTTGGTCTCTCTGCTCCCCCTCACAGTGAGTAAAAAGTACAACGTTGTCAGGTGTGGTTCTTTTCAGGTCATTCTATCTGTGGCAGATAGATGACAATAGTGGTGACTGAATAACGTAATTTTCAGCACCATCAATTTACAACAAGTCTTTTTAATACATTAAACTGATTATAAATCAACCTTCAAACTGTTGTATTAGGGAATCATGAGGGAAGTACACAGGGTATGCGTGAAATTCATTTTCACTGATTCAGGCAGTTTAGTCACTTCAGAATAAGAGTTAGTATAGTCCTTTTTTGAGTACTGTATGTTGTTGAAAAGATGTCCAATGTTGGATGTTATTTCTTATTCATAAATAGACAGCTCCTCAACCGATAACTTACTGGGAGAGAAAAGTGTTCCTAGAGCACAGGTCTATGAGTATAAAGCAGACCTTGTCTGTACAGACAGTCACCGCTTCAGAACGACACCTTCGTGCATGAGCTAAATACCTGGAATAACACAGTTCTGTAAGATTTCCCACACACCCCTCACTGGGTTCCTGGAGTAGTGACGCCCAGTTCATATTTTCCGTCTGCTCTGGACTCTGTGACGACTCTCATCTGGGCATTCGTCTGCAGCCTTATAAATAGCAGCAAAAGACTCTGGAAGACACAGAAAGAACACATCAAAATTATTCTAAAGGAACGCTGTGCTGCATGAGATAAAAATGAAAATGACAAAACAACAGACACTAGTTTTGGAAAATAAACTATATGAATATGTGTTTGCCTTTATTAGCAAACACATATTCATATATTAGCCTTTATTAGCATGTATGGAAATCACGTTTCAATACATGGAAAATAATCTTACTAATACAGTAGCATACCATTTCAGGGTTGCTATTATGGCATATAAGATGGTACCATTTTTATTGTAACCCAATTGATCAATATTATCTACTGCTCAATCCTTTACAGGGTCATGGGGTGTTGGGGCCAATCCAAAGAGTCAACAGGCAGTGTGGGGTACATCTTAGACAGTTTACTCAGATTCATACCTATGGTCAGTGTACAATCAACCTAATCCGCTAATGAGAATGTTTTTGGGCTAACAAAGGAAACCCGAGTACTTGGGAAAAAAACACGCAAACAACGAGAAGAACGTGCAAACTGCATACAGAAATGGAAACCAGTGAAGCAGTGATCTTCTTGTTGTACTGGTACATATACAGCTTAAAAAAAAGCCCAGAGGTAGACTTGAGTTGTCCAACTTGTTGTATTTATTTGTACTTGAAACAGTGATGTTTGCATGGCAAAATTTTAACATATAGTACACACTTTCTACTTTGAAGTACTCAAAATACAACTACAAATATATTGCAACATTAAAATTCCCCTTAAGACACTACAATATAAAAACAAGTCCAGTCACTATTCAACAAATATTGCCAATGCAGGGATTAACATCATTGAGGAATGACTTAAAACGAATTGTTAAACAGTCAACACCTCAGAATCAAAAGAAATTGGCAAAGGCTGAGTTCAAAATACAAAAAGTAAAACTTTACAGATCTATGCTAGAGCTGGCTGAGCAGCAGTCCAAGTTGTATTTTAGAATATTTGCATTAGAAATGCAATTCCAAATGCAAATAAAAGACACACATTTCTAGTGTAGTGGAAAAAAAAGATACAAATTTCATATTACGTCCTTCTGAGGCAGACATTTTCATGATTTGGCAGGACAATAACAGTCACAATGACCTGGGGGGAAGATCCTGAGGAAACGTGGGTCTGAATAAGCAGGATCAGCAACACCCAATAGAAAATGGCCACTAACCACCTACAGAACAGGAACATCTGCAGACAAGATACAAAAAGAAAATAAAGAAGGAAAGAAAGAAAAAAGCTTATAAAAAAGAAAACAGAGAAACACTGGGCTACAGTGTCAGAAAAGTCAGTCGGTTGGCTGGTTGGTAACTGAAATGTTTTTGGTAGTTATTATTGTTTACATTTGATAATGTTATATTTCACATATTGTGTCCAAATTTATATAGTTCTGTCTGACTTCCTGTTCTCCCGTGTTTTTTATTCACCTTTGGTGATCTTTGTCCTGTGTCACTTCCTGTGCTTCACTTCCTGTGCTTCCTGTTTTTCTCTTGTCTTTTGCCTGATCATCATACATTTCATTCGTTCTTTCATGTGTTCTTATTGATCTCATTTGTGGGTTTCTGTTGCCACTTTTGTGTTGAGTAATTAAAACTGTATTTTTCTTTTAAACAATATTTAGATTGAATACTTCATCAGCACCTGGTCATCTTGTATATTGCACAGTGTGTAATACACACACATAAACCCTTCAATGATTCTAATTAATCTAAATTCCACGCAACACTACAAGTTATGACAGTAACCTAACATTAAAACCGAAAGCATTTTCCATCAAGTCTCTTTGTCGTTTCCCTGCTACAAATGGCTGCAGTTATTGCTCTTTAGTGCCATCGTGCGACTCAGTTACAACAGGACAGGGTTGTTGACATAACCGGCACTAATACATTTACGAAGATCAGGCAACAGCTAAAAGTTTCTATATAAATAAAATATTGTAGTATTAAGAAAAAAAGTATCTTGGTTTACGTTTAGGCTCGTTGTATTTTACTGAATAATACGAGGCACACCTGAATATAGCACGAGCCACAACAAAAATCATGTGACGAACACAAGTAGCGCATGCGTACTGATCGTAGCCGGGAGAATCACTTTCCTGCGTTTATTGACTTTATACCCAATTGAGAAGGACCGATATGGGTAAAACATTGCTTTTCTTTGCGGTGACATCGGCTGTGCTTTGTGCCGAGGCGCTTTCACTGTCTTTTTCAAAGGTAAAGTATACGTTTACGGTTATTTTCGCTGACAATCTTTTGTTCCGGTAAGGCATGACAAAGCGTGGCGAGTTGGAGTGTTGTTACAAACGCGTCCAGTATAAATACGCAGTATATTAAGAAATATGCTGTCCGTTTGTTCTCAATAATTATATTAATTTTTTCACAATTGTCAGGCGTTTACCGGCGCGTGATTGTAAAGATTTACAAAACTGGTTAAGTCGCTGCTGTTATAATGAAATAATTAACAATAAGACGTGGTGCAAATTTAGAAACAACTTTATGTTTTTAACTGTTGCAACGTACAGTTTCAACGCCACGACAATGTTAAAAACTACTAGTCCTCTTACGAATCTGTCTACTGTACTAATGGATTTTTATAGGGACATTACATTACATTACATTCATTTTTTACTAAATGTTTATGTGGTCCTCACATAGGTATACGTAGGTTAAGCAGATTTTTACTAGAAGATGAGACTATTGTGGCAAACCAATGAAATTGAGGGGCACTGTTCTTACCATGAGTTTCAGACCCGTGCTTTCAGGTAACAAATACGATGTAGTGACCAATGCATCCATATTCCTGTAGTTTGGAAAACATTATGGATTTAAGAAAACATCATCGTTCACAGAGAAGTATTTCACTCAGACCATGGATCACTTCAACTTCAACAGCATGGGAAACAGAACATTCCTCCAGCGATACCTTATCACAGGTAAAGCCAGTGTCATCTCACAAATCTAGTGAGGAACATTAGAGAAAGTATTTCATCCATGTGTCACGTTTTCTCCTCTTTTAGATAAATACTGGGACAAAGGCCACGGCCCTATTTTCTTCTACACTGGCAACGAGGGAGACATTTGGGAATTTGCCCTCAACTCTGGATTCATCCTAGAGTTGGCCAATCAGCAGAGAGCTTTAGTCGTATTTGCTGAACATGTAAGAAATGACACCTTCTTCTCCAATTGCAGATATTTAGAGATGTGACATGTGAATCATGCGGTCGGCTGATTTTCGGTTCCTGTATTTCTCCACACTTTATGAGTCTCATTTCTCTTATAAGACCAGCCACATGATTAAGAAAGTTCCCACAGATGTAATCCAGCTGGTTACTGTTGCGGTTTTCTGCGTGGAGTTTTGGACAAATTGACAGAAGAGTGAACGGTTGTTTTAGAATGAGTAGTGTGTAGAATAAGGAGGGAAAAAAATATTTTCTATATTTACTATTTTCAGAACAGATGTGAGAAGTGGGCATGTGTGGAAAAGATGAAAAATTATTTCTGACGTGAATGAAAAAGATATTCATTTTTAAACACAGAAATTATTTGTTTTCATGTTCTTTCAGAGGTACTATGGCAAATCTCTACCATTTGGCAAAGACTCCTTCAACATCCCACAGATTGGCCTGTTGACTGTGGAGCAGGCCCTGGCCGACTACAGCATCATGATCAGAGAGCTGAAAAAAGAGCTGACAGCCACTCAGTGTCCCGTCATAGTGTTTGGTGGAAGGTAAAATCTCCTCTGTTCCCAGTTTGGCTTTGTGTAGTCATTAAAAAAACAGGAGCAGTTGACAAACAGCTACAGTGCAGAAACTTATATATATATATTATTATTCATGCTAGAGTTAAATATTAACATCACACAGCTTTAACAGAAAATGTGATGATTATCGTTTAATAATTTGTGTGCTTGATACAGAAATCAGTTTAAAATGTTTGTCTAATGATTTAACTAAAGTTATTTTTTATTTTATTTTTCTCTTGAAGAAAACATTTTAATAAAACAAATAATGCTAAAACTAAAGATGCTAAATTTCATGGGAAATCTCATGCGTTAAACTCCTTCAGACTGAACTGAGGTTGGAAATCTGACACTGGTTGTTACACAGTCCTTCAGACGATCATACTTTCATTTTGTCAAGTTTTCTGTTGCATTTTCAGTTGCTCAGTTCAGTCGTGACCAGAAATGAGCCAACTTTTTAAACATAGTTGTTTTTACATCTGAGAGTGCAGCTGACATGTCCTCTGAGTTTTACACATTGTTGCAGCTTTACATTAGCTTTGTTTGCAGTTTTCTTCCCCCATAAATACATGCACTGTTGCCTGTGAACAACATAAACACTCTGACCCTCTCTGAAAATGTTTTTGTGTTTTCTCTGCAGTTATGGTGGAATGCTGTCAGTCTACATGAGGCTGAAGTATCCAAATGTAGTGGCTGGAGCTCTCGCAGCCAGTGCCCCCATCCTGTCCACTGCTGGACTGGGAGACCCCAGGCAGTTCTTCAGAGATGTTACTGCTGTAGGTTTGTTACATGTTTTTTTGTTCTGTGACATCAGTTTAATGATTTTAACTGTAGTTGATATGATTCAACCACAGGCTTCTTTCCTTAAGGCCCTTTATGATCTCAGTAAAAAAAGCAGGAAATAGCCTGACCCTGATTAACACATTTTTACCTATTAATTATATGGTAGACCTGTGACATGACCTCATGGTAAAGGACGTCAAAATATACTTAAACATAACAAACATCCATATAAATTAAATCCCTGCAGTCATCATAAGGTCAAACATATAGAGACAAATAACCGGTCACATGTTCACTCATATTTGTGGTACAATAAAGTAAACAATTCATCTAATCCTGCATGGTTTTGGACTGGGGGAGGAAATGTGGGAGGAGTACCCAGATACACATGCAAATTCTATAAACTGATCTTGTTGCTGCTACATTGTGGCCAGCCCAGTCTGATAATGACAACAAAATCTCCAAATTATACCTGAGTACACAACATATGTTGTATCGATTAGTTCAGTAAACAATTTAAAATAATGACATTTATTTCCATGTAAAAAATAACTGTGGAACAACATTTGTTTCTTTGTTAAGGACTTTGAGAGTGTCTCCCCTAAGTGCAGAGATGCTGTGAGAGAAGCTTTTCATCAGCTCAAAGAGCTGGCTGTGGAGCAAGGTACATCTGCATCATAACCATAAGTCTGTCATTGGGTCTTCTTTGGAAAATCCAATAATGAATTCCAAAGTTGTGTATTACACAAATGTAGACAGTATTACTTTTCATTACTTGTATAATATAAAGTCAGACTGCCCCTGTTACTCCTTCTGTAAGTCTGAAGTATTTGAAGTAATCCTCCACTGTGATATAAGTACTAAAAAATGAATTTTTGTTATTTTAAAAACATGTGAAATATAATATGTTACTGTTTCCACCAGAATATGGGCTCATCCAATCAGAGTTCAATCTTTGTAAGGCTCCGTCATCTGCTCAGGACATCCATCAGCTGTTTGGACTGCTGAGGAACGCCTTCACGATGATGGCCATGATGGATTATCCTTACCCCACTCACTTCATGGGCAACATGCCCGCCTACCCTGTCAAGGTGTGTGAGCTAAGCTGTTTGATCTGCCCTCAGTGTTGTCAACGGTCGTTCACTCACTGATGTCACTTTGATTTTTCAGGTGGCGTGTGAAACCATGCTGAGTGGATCTAACCTGCTCACTAATCTCAAGAACACTGCTGGTAAAGAACTGTTAACACAGTATTTGTTAGTCTGTTTATATTTGCTTCTTCAACAATGGCTGAGGTGGTATCTTCAGAAATCTGAGACTGAAAAAATACAGGTTGTTGGTGAATCCCAATTACCAACACCTTTTTGTTTTAGAATGTGCAGGTGAAATGCACTGTAGTACAAGAAGTAGATATAAAAATATATTTCTTTAGAAACAAGAAAAAAAACAAGTCGATGTTATCATAGTTACAAGTATATGGAGCCCTATCTGTATCAATGTAAACACTCGAAGGAGGAAAAGAATCTGATGACTTCAGGCTGGAATGTTTTGCGATGCCCTCTGGTTCACTTTGGTGGAATACTTCTGTTGCTCTTGTAGCTCCTGTGGCTGGGCAGCATATCATGGAATGGATGGGAATCACTGTCTAAGACTGAACTGACCATCGACACCATCGTCAAACTCTACAACCTCACTAGCCCTGCTAATCCATTTATTTGGTTTTTTGGCATTTGCCAAGTATGGCTGCCTTAGCATGCATGTATGACAGCACTGATGACCACAGTCTGATCAAACATCCTCAGAACTGTCAACGTAGTATTTAAATGAAGGCGTCACTTCATTCCACTGCAGCCCCACCATGTTGGTATCATCAGTGTCAGGTGTCTGACATAATGATTTCATGTACCTTACATGTCCTGTACCTTTGATGTCTGAGCTCACTACACAGAGAGTGGCCATTAGATTCCTGTTCTCCAACTTTCCACAGTGCACCGGACAATAGTGAGAAGACCACTCATCCTCAGGGTTGATCAGTGATATCCCTGAACAAGACACGTTGCTTGAACAAGTCGCTTTCGTTGGCTTTGATAAAAGAGACGACAAACTCAGCTGCTGTTCTGTTTCGAACACATTCTGCTCGCATTATTAAAGCAGTAAGTCCACTGGACATGGAAAACCAGTCTGTGGCTGAATCTGAAACACAGTGTCCACTAAAGACCAATGTGGGGACGTCAATGTCTCAGCTTCAGCCGTCCGTATTAACTGCTGTGTCGGATGAAGTGAAAAAAGAAGCTCAGGACTCTATGGATAGAGGACATGTTTTTGCTGCAGAAACTAACACGCAGACTGCAGACTTTGTCTACAGCTACCAAAATCCCACTGGATGCACTTACCAGTTTCCAGCCAGTTGCAGCTACCAAGTACCACCTGGCTGCACCTACCAAGTACCAGGTGGCTATACATACCAGAACCCATCTGACTACACTTACCAGAACCCTGCTGCATACGCATACCAGAACCAAGCTGGCTACATCTACCAAGCCCCATCTGACTATTCCTACCAAGTCCCTCCTGACTATGCTTACCAAGTCCAGGCAGGCTATGGGTACAGAGGTCCCACCTACAGAAACTACAGCGGTCTGACCCGGAGTAGCTACAGAGGTCCAGGCAGAAGCAGCTACAGAGGTCCAGCCCATGGTAACTACAGGGGTTCTAGTTACAGTAACTACAGAGGTGCCTTATGTGGTAAATACAGTGGACCTGCCTATAGTAACTTCAGAGGTCCATTCAGCAGTAGCTACAGGGGTCCTGGATACAATAACTACAGAGGTCAGGCTTACAGTAACTACAGAGGTCCAATTTACAGTAGCTACAGAGGTCCAGCATACAGCCAAGGTCGCTACTACAACTACCGCCCCAAAAAAACATCCTGGAAAAATAAATCCCACATGGTAATGACAATGAAAACCCAGTCTGTGGTTAACAACGAAGGACAGTGTTCACAAAAAACAGAAGCAGGAACAGGGTTGTCCCCACATCCTTTGACTGCTGCTCCCCTGCATACGGAGACAAACGAAGCTCAGGCTGCAGAGAAAATGGCCAAATGCTCCCCTCCTGAGGCAGACATACAAAGTGTCAACGAGAAGATCAAAATGATCACCCTGATTAAGAAAAAGATCGCCTTACTGGATCTGAACGCAGAATTAGATAAAAAGAAGGAGGCGGAGACAGGTCAACGCAAACAGGCTGAAGATGGCTGCCATCAGGAGCAAATGCTGAAGGAGTCTTCTGGCAAGACTAAGCAGGCTGTGGATGAGAAGACAAAAGTGAGGACTAAGTCTCTGAATGATGTGATTGGGAGAATACTGGCCATGGAGAATCAGACTGGAGATGTTGAAGACAGTGAGAGGAAATCTGAGAAACAGTCTGTGAAGAAGCAAATCCTGAACTTCTTTAAAGAGAGTGGAGACAACCCTGCTGTGATCACTCGTCACGACTGCTAGGCCCCGTCACCTCTGACCTCCCTTTAGGACAAAGTCAAATACAGAAAAAGGCAGTGGTGGAACAGGATGGATGGCAACTAATGCACCATATTTAAATAACTCCTCTCCCCCATAATTCCTCCTCAACCACCACAGTACCCCTACAATTCCAACTCCAGCCAACCTGTCAGAGGTTGGACCAAACTCCCAGAAGCTGTTGAAGACGACCACACATTTCAGCTCAAAGTTTTTGCCTGTGAATAGTCAAACGATCAGGCAGCTCCTCGTTAGGTAGATGTAAGGCTCTGTCATTATTTAGTACAAATTAATTTTTGCATCTGTGTATGAAACATTCAGGATGTACAAACGTACGCTGAGTTATGTAACGCAATAGGATGGTAAAAACGGTGAGTATCGCTATCATTTCTCTTTATGAATTAGCTCAGATATGTTAAAGTTTAATTTGTTCAAAAGTGTTTAGCTCACCGGGCCCAACCTCGGTGTACTAGAGAGAAGAGTAGAACCACAGATTTAAACACTAGCCATAAAAAGTAACGCAACAAAAAATATATAAAATAATTAGGGCTGCACGGTATTGTTGAATATTGGGATGTAGGTACTACTTGTGAGAAATAAATTAAAATACTTGAGTGTGCAGTGTTAATGTCTTCATAACTTGGATGTTGGGGCTAACCTACCAAAGATCATTCACTAATACCAGCATCATTTCCAATCTATCAACATGGTTTCATTGGAAAAATAAAACATTTCTATGTCCTCATTAAATTCAACTTGTCTTTTTAAATAGATGTCAACAATTATCTCCCCTAATGTCCTAATAATGAAGAATGTTTTGAAGGATTTTTATAGCAAGTGTTTTAGTAAGAGCCTATTGACTGCCGACTGGGAGAAAGTGATGGAACAGTAAGTTCTACGCCAACTCAGTGTTAATTCATATACATCATCATCACATAATGTGCAGCCCTTTGATTAACTTTAGTACAGACAATAAACAATAAAATAAGTTATTAGAACTAAGTTGAATAGTGTTAAACACCACACAGCGGTGTGATGGTCTGTGATATTTCAGTTTCCTCTCTGATAGAAATCATGTAGATTGGATCACGTATGCTCAGTGTATGATGTGTGAAAGTTCTGCGTCAGCAATTTCTATTTCTGTATGTGTTCCACCCTTTCAGGGATTTTGTATAATTCCACTGGAGCATTGATGTGTTTTGACCTGTACAGCCTGTACGTGGAGTGTGCTGATCCCACCGGCTGTGGACTGGGCTTTGACAGCATGGCATGGGACTACCAGGTACTTCAAATTCACTGACACAACGGAAAACTATGTGAAAATGTGTGAATTTATCAGTCAATGTCTGATTTGTTTTATTCCAACATGGGGACTAAACCCTATGACCTTCTGTCCCTGTCCCCAGGCCTGCACAGAAGTCAATTTGTGCTTTGAGAGCAACAACGTGACTGACATGTTTCCTCCGATGACCTTCACTGGTGAAGAGCGTGAGCGTTACTGTCTCAAACGTTGGTCCGTCGTTCCACGGCCAGACTGGTTTCAAGTCCAGTTCTGGGGTGATGGTAAGTTCTACGGTGTTCCAGTCTGATGTTCTGAGCAGTGGAGTCGTCACAGTGTTGAGCCTTGGTAAGGAGATAACATTCAAACCCCATGCCACAGAAATGGTGGCTCGCTGCCAATTTGTGTATCTGAGACCACAACAATGATGCACTGAAATGTTCTTAGAGAGAACATTTTGATTTTTAGCCTCTAGACACTACGCATTTCAATAGTTTGGGGGCGTAGTTGGACTGAACGGCTTGTTACTAAAGAAATAATACATGAAAATAAGCATTTAGAAAATGAACAGACAACAGCATTTGTTCTACCTCCAACAAGCACAAAACCAATGTATATTTTGAGTATTTATGCTGCAATGGAAATGACATTTTATTTTATTTTGGTAGGAATATTTGTTAATGTGTCTAATGAACAGGCCTTTTGTTTTGAAGAGGAGATGAGATGAGTTTGTAATAAAAATCGAACATCTGGCGTCCATCCTTGTCTTCTGGACACAAGGCTGGACACACTGCAGTAACCCAGCAGTGTAAGGAAACTAGATTTTGTGCCTTCATTTTTTAACGAGCTCTGCTACTGTGTTCAGCTCTCTCCACAGCCACTAATATCATCTTCTCCAATGGAGATCTGGACCCCTGGGCAAATGGAGGGGTGAGACTAGAGCTTGTTTGTATTTTACTCAGTGGTGCATCCCCTCCTGACAATGGAAGGTTTACCTGATCTCTTGTTGTTCAGGTGCGAAAGACGCTGAGCTCATCACTGATAGCCATCAACATTCCTGAAGGAGCCCATCACCTGGATCTGAGGTAGAACCGTCTGCTGTTCTCTGCACTGACACTTTAGTGTTTTACTGCCAAACCAGTGACTTGTGTGACTTTTTTATTATTAATGTTGACACATGCAGAGGACACAACGATGCTGATCCAATGTCAGTGCTCAGTGCCAGGAAGACAGAAGCAGACATCATCGCAGAGTGGGTGAAGATGGAGAGGAGAAGAATACAGCTGTCCTTGTGATACACAACTTGGAATATAAGTTGATAAGACTGAACTAGATTTAGATTTAAATGTGTCATATGAAAGAAAGGGTTCATACTAAATATGCCTGCAAAGGAAAAATTAAAGCAGCTTTGTTTGTAGTGTCAGAATTTTAGTTCCAAATCCAGCACACAGAAAATATCCACTAATCAACACTGCCAAAACTAAATCTTTTAGATATTTTTCATATTCTGAAAGTTTGTCCCTTTCTGTGTCCTGTGATGCTTTTCGTTGTCTCTGTGAAAACAATTACAGCTGATTTCCTCTTATTTTTCTGTCAATATCTAAAATGATTTTTTCATGCAGTACATTTAATACACTTTGTAAACCTAATGACAGGTTTACAAAAATGTCAGTGTCACTGTTTCCTTACACAAATAATGATCAATTTATTGTTCAATAAAACGTCTTTATTTAAAGTCTTTAAAAATATTCAGCAAAAGATGCAATACAAAAAGACATGAACAAATGGCTGTTACATGATCCACATCTGAAAGGTCTCATAATCACAGCATTAAGGCAATGAAAGGTCGCAACCTTAAACCAAAGGAGAGAAGGGAGATGACTAGTTCTAGCCTAAAAAGGTCTTTAAGATGTTTAATGTGATGCCAAGGGATGAACGTTATTGAGAATGACTTATTTCCAAAATAAATTCTGCTGTAGACGCCCTCTAGTGGTCAAATATACTCTAACCTCTGTTTCCAGAATTCAGGGAACATAAGAACATTTTATTAATCACATACTGAGGAAATATATTCCCTTATTTGGTGGAGAAATATGCTAAAGTAATATGTAACGGCCAATTCAGAATAACAGGAAAACGCCAAAGAAGACAGGAGACAGGCACATGCAAGAACAGTTGACCTGGGTAAATGACCATGTTTATCTGGTTACGAGCTGAATGTGAGCCAAATATTATGTAACATCACGTTTGTCTATGACTATAAACAGAATCAGCATGTATCAGAATGTGGGATTTGTTGGTGAATGTTCAGATGAGATTCGTTGTTGGACCTGCTATGGTCAGAAACCTTTAATACAATAAATCCCCCGAGAGGGAGAAGTGGTCCTGGTCACATATTATGTTTCCATATTTCTCCACCACACATAATATTTATGTAAACTAATAATAAACTTGATCTGCTTTCTGTGAAATCGCAACATATGTCAAAGCAACCTCAGCAACCTTTTGGGTAAATATGAGGCAACATTTTGGTAAAACATTAAATCAGATTCATTAAATCTGAACGTTAGATTAAAAAATGTTTGTGATATTTCAACAGCAATGTTCATTCCTCCCAACAATAATACGTCAGGCTTAATTTTTGGTCGATATAACATTCTTACGTTTTTCCCTAAAACAGTGAATGTGTTGGGTAAGTCAGGCATTCACAGTGACTAAACTAAATAGCACCACAGGGATAAACCCTACAGTTTCAAGTCCTGGTACACACTGAACTTTTACATTGTTACATTGTGATTTTAATTAACATGTTGGGCCAAGTCGGCAGAGACACAAAATTCTAAAACCTGTCCTCAAATATCCACATTGGTTATAAAATTCATTGAAAATATCTTCTGTTAGTTCTTCCTGAAAGTGGCTTTGGACCAATGGCTTTGATTGCTCTAATAAAAAGCAGGCCTTATTATTGGATGTTCAGCATATCTTTGGCTCAGGAGTTATGCTGACATATGTACACAACAGTGACCTAAGGATTGCTAGGGACTGTTGTAAAAATATGAATACATTTTTTCAAATTACCGTAAAAACATCCCATCACAATTACCATATACACTGTAGTAAACAATCAAAAACATAACGTAATAGAATGTGAAAACCGTGGACAGTTACTAGTTGGTCTGTTGAATATTGTCTGGATCAACATTAAAGGCACAAGTGAAAAAAAAAAACCATTACAGACATTACAGTATAAAACAAGTTTGGTCTCAACTCAAATGTCATGTAAATTCATTTGAACTATCAGCTTCATGTTCTGACAGAACAGCTAGCTGCTCTCAAAGCTGGGGTAGGAAAGATCAGGGTCATGACAGACAGTCGTCAGTCATCAATTTGCAGATAGATTTTTCAATAACTCTTGTTCTTTTGTTAGTTTCTTAAAGCCATCTCTTGTCTTGTAGTGTAGTTATTTATACACTTTTATAATCCTAATGATTGTTTTGTCATTTTTAGTCTAAAATGTTTCAACCAATAACATGTTGTTGTTTGAATAATGGCTGTTTAGGAGTCATACCCATCAGATGACCATGAACTGACGCAGGCACTTAATAAGTGGTCAGAAAACCAGACAATATTTCTAAAACGCTCCATTCACACATCACATGCTTTATTGCATTTATAGCCCAATATTTTTAGATTGCTTTGCAGAAAAGACATCAAAAGTCATCTGTCATATAGTAAAACCATACTTGCCACTAAACTGCAGCTAAATTTAGGTTTGTAAAGTTTTATGTGCCTGAATATTTTTATTTTGTCATTTTCATCTGTAGACCTTTGCTGATATTGTTTGTTATTTACCATCTTATTTTATTTTTTCATATTAAACAGTCAGGGTGACAAAATTATTTAAAATTAATCGTGGCAAAAAAAAAAAAAAATCTTATCTACCCCAACTTAAAGCAGCTACTATTACTACAAAATCTAAGCAAACATCACAATTTCACTCTTTTAACACATTTATACCTAAGCTACGGCTTAATGCTAAAATCAATATATTACATTTTTTATTCAAATTTAATATCACACCTCTCTCACATGAATACATATGCTAATAAAAACATTTAATGAGAAGCAGTTTCTAAGCATTAAAAAAGAGTTATTGTAAGAATTGGCTGCTGCACTCAAAATGAATTCACAGTTTAGAAGTCAATCTGCTACTTAGTAACAGCTGTGTTCATCTGCTATAAATTGATGCTGCAGCATTTATGTCATACTGAACTGAAACAGTCAAATGCAACACTACAGTCAGGTCATGACCTCATCTCTCACTTGGTGGCTACCAGCACCACCACAAATATCACTGTTTCCAGCTGCTGTGTAAAGTTGTTTCCTGCTTACAGACACCAACAACAATGACTTACTGTACTTGCCAAGCAGATCTTAATGCCAATGCCTACTAAATAAATAATAAACAGAAAAATAAAGAGAAAAATAATATTTAAGAGTCCTAGTATTAATCCTATGTCTCACATTTTTCTTTCCTCTTTCCCAATTAAGGGTTCAGGCAAGTACAAACACAGATTAAAGTAAGGTCGCTCCCACATGATGTGAGGCCTTTGTGTTCTTCTTTTCTTGTTTTAATACCTCTCTTACAAATGCCTCTCTTACAATGTCTCTCTGTTTACCTCATATGTTGTAGAGGTGTACATCCAGCAAAGATAAAGCAAGAAAATCTACTAAAAACCTGAGAGCTACTTTGACTTAATGTTAATATTTATTCCTACCGGTACTTTTTGTCTCCAAAGTTTACTATCTTTACATTGTCTTAAGATGCTTATGTCGGCGCATCCAGATGTTTGTAGAGACTAAGAGACTAAAAGACTTCTAGTACCACATCTCCATTCAGAGGCCAGAGTACATACTAAAATAATATAATGAACTCTACAGGTCATTGTTAAGGTCATCACATCAGTCCAGACATGGCTGGCCTGTGATGCAGCTTGTTCAGAGATCAACAGGTGGTGACAGCAATTCAACGACTAAAGCAAAGGCCAACACTAAATCAGCTTCACTAAGATAGTTAGTGGTTACAAAAAAGGTACACAATCAATTCACCCTGCTCTTTCTAGATAACACAAATGCAACATGAGTCAACAAATATAGTATTTTTATATCAGGCTACAACACGTGTGGTATGATTTTAACCTCGTATCAATATGCGTCCCACAAAGTTTTTCTTAATGGTATGGTCCAAATAAAAAAAACAAAAACAAAACTAAATTCCACTTCACAATGACTGCCATGGCCTGCTGAAGTCTGACCATAATCCAGTAACCTAAAAAAAACCTTATTGACTTTTGGCACATGCTTGCTCCTATTAAGGAGGTTCAACATCTGGAAATACATCCAGCCACACTTAATAATAACTAAATACAATGTCATGAGTAATTAGCTTTGCTGTCACATCCCTGTGAGGTCACCAAACACATGACCATGTCCGAGCTCAAACAGTGAGAAGTAGGGATGTATTGATACATTGTGAATAAAACCATAGAAAAACGTGTCAATTTGGTTAAAATATCAAATGCATCACACATCAAGGAGTAGGTTGCATTATCTCAACAAGTCATTCAGTGATGGTATATGCTATTTAATCAAGTCTCTAGTAGCCTAAGTGACATCCGGGTGTTCAAACATAACGTGGAAAGAACTTCTTCCACAGATACAAACACTGTTTTACAGTCTTTCTGTAAAATAAGGAAGTATTCCCAGGTAATATTTTTTCATATTTTTTGTTGTTTAATATATTGACAGTTTGACATCTAATAAGAGGAAAATGGTGATGTGCAGTGTTTCTGTGAAGAAATGTGCTTTTTTTTATTCTGATATTTAAGATAACTATTTCAGTCTATAAGGTACATAAGACCATTCTAGGTGGTAAGGGAATTTTGCATTTGTTATTACAAATTAAGGATCATTGTATTTGGTTATAATTTGTCTAATTTTGTTTCAAAATAAAATCCTATCGGGAACAAAGAATCATGAATCATAATATTGTGAGTTGAGAGTATCATTCCATCCTTAGAAGCAGACAGCAGTCAGGTTCAATCACAACAGGTCTCACACCGTCACCTGGCTTTGTATTTGGAGACGATCGCGTTCTCTTCTTAAAACAACACCATATTATTCGCAAGTTAAGACTGCTTTTGGGTAGAAATTATTTAATTTGATATAAATTATATGGTATAAGATGTTTGTTTTATATCAGAATCTTTTGATTCTGCCTCAGCGGTTGCTCTGACTTTCTGGGTTCTTGACGCCTGATAAAAACAACTTTAGGCATTTTCTTGAGCCATGTTTAACACTGCTGATGTTACCAGACTGTTGGAGACAACAGAAATCTCCAAAACACAGAACACACCATCACAACTCATCTGTCTACACTTTTTTCACTCTCCACATCTGTTCATTCATACTAAAGACATATATCCACCTATGTTCAGTGATGTTTTGGCAGCTCACTGAGACAGAAGGAACCAAACTTGTTGGTGTTACACCAACCCTGAGATATTGGTTTTTGTGTTCACATATTCTGTTAAAATTCACCTGTGTTTGTGTCACTCAGTGGAGGGCCATATAGGCAGAGGGTGAGCTTCAGTGTTGAAGACGTACTTGTCCAGGCTGATGAGGTCGGGGTCATCGGAGAAAAGCAGATAAAGGTATTTGAGAGTTTCTCCCAGGAAGAAGCTCTCCATCTTGTCACGAGGACTGGGGTAGTCTGGGTCCCGCACATTATTAATGGACGTGTAGCCACCAGAGGAAACCTGAAACAAACATTAACATGGGTCTGTAATAATAGGGCCTTGCAAAGAATGATGACCTTTCACCTCACTGTTGTTCAAAATGCAACCATTAGTGCTGCAAGAATTGCAAAATGATGAAACATATCCATGGATAAAGAGTTACGTTTAAGTTAAAAAATGTATATACTGTGTTTTATGTCAAAATTGGTCAAACATACTACCAACATCCCACATTTGACATTTTACCTTTGTAAACTTGTTAAAGCTTTGAAGAATCTCCCAACCCCACTCCCGGTACTTCTGGTCCTTGGTTAACCGGTAAAGGTAGAAAAGACTCTCGACAGTCTCTGGACGCAGCAGGTTATGTCTGTCAGCAAGCTGAAATGAAAAACGCATAGTGAAATACTCTTAATTGCATCTCTGCATTTTTATTATTTAAGATACAGTATGTTTTTTATTCCCTTTTAAGCTAATTTTACCAAGTATGTACTGTATATAGGAGACTGCGTTTCTACTCCACCTTCACATCAATGTCTCGGATGCTGCCCTGGTGCATGTTGAAGTGGACAATCTCTGGACTCAGGCCTGTCTCCATCTGGGCATACATTTGGTAGCAGGTCTGCATCAGCTCCTTCGCCAAATCCATGTGATCAGCAGGGAGACCATTGTGAGCACCAAGGGCCAGAGTTCCAGGCAGGAAACATACAAGATGGTCCTAAGGTCACAGACATTTAGCTTAGGGTTTATTATAAACACATGCATGATAAGAGAGTTTGGTTATTAAGCTGGTTTCTGTTCCTGAAAGACATTTTAAAAATGACAGTAAAAATAAAAGTTAAAATATTATTATATATAGTTATTAAAAATTGAAGTTTATGATTAGAATTATTTAACTTACCTAATTGCGCAGTGCTCTATGGTTTAAATTGGGTATCAATGAAGTGAAAGCCACTTAGAGCGCATATGTCAAACTCAAGGCCCGCAGACCAAACTCAGCCCATTTTATGTGGCCCACCAGAGCTTAAAATGCTCTCTTGTATAGAGTCCATACTAATGTTTACTGGATTGGTTCAATGCAGTAATCCAATAATGCATGTGTATGTTATATGCATGGTAATTTTCTATTTGTTCTGTTGAGAAAAAAGTTATTGCTGTTTAATATTTCTGGTTAGAGCATTCTCAGTGTTAGACTTGAACAACTGTCAATACTGTTTGGCTCCCAAAGTGGACTGTATTTTAATTTTCAGCCTGTTAACTGATTGAGTTTGAGACCCTTGACTCAAGGGTCAAGTACTCTGCAGTTAACCAGAGAGTACTTTTAAGACTAATGTTACTTATTCCAAAGTAAGAGCTGAAAGGTATAGAAAATTGTCTAGTTATATAAATGTTCACTTGGTTTAAGGGCCACTGACCATTTTAGGGCTGAACTGTCCATGTGAGAGCTCTCCAACGAAAGTAAGGCCATTAGGTGATGACTTCTGCAATAGGTTCTTCTTTACACCTTCTATTGCCTGCAGATAGTCCTGCAGTAGTCTTGAACACAGACAAGGATGCCAGGGTTTAAATTGCAATTTGTCATATTGTCATTTGTTTGTGTTTAGAAGTGACCACAGTCCTCCTCACCCCTCCTCTTTCTTGCCACCCTGGATCCACTGCTTCAGCAGATATTCATAGTAGCTGTCTGCTCTGGCTCCCAGTGTGAAGATGCCCTGATGGGTGAACTGTCCGTTGTTTGTGTTGATGAACATGGGCACAAGACCATCCAGTTTACCCCCCAGCTTGTGGATCTTGTCCATAACCTCAGCTACTACATTCTGGAATTTCACACACCAAACTGTTTAGGGTGTAGGATTTATACAATTTCATTTTTTTTTTAAATAAACAGATGGTATGACACGATCTTGAAGGTGTGTCTCAAGTATAAACTTAGTGAATCAGGTGACTACCTGGTACTGTGGTTCCTGTGTGAGACGGCTGAGTTCTCTGAACTCCAGCTGGATGCTGGCAACCTCAGCTACAGTACTGTCCGAGGTCCAACGAGGGGGATGGGCAATGCCCTTCCCAATGTTCACGTCGGAATAGGGAATTTTAGATGGGGTGTTGAAGGCTGGCATCAGTCTAGAGCCAATGTCCTTCTGTAAAAGTAGGATAAAAAAAGGATCATGTAAGGTCAGAGATAGAAAAAGTGAAGTCTAGACTTAGGGTTACATAAGGTGTGCAACTGTTTTGTATCATACTGTAAATCTTTATTGAGTAATTATACATGTATGTACCAGGTTACTGGTATTTTTCAGATGAGCTATAATATGTCAGTTTATGTCAGTTCCATAATGTAGTGGTAATACGCCTGCTGCGGAAGTCCTGGGTTTGATTCCCAGAGGAACCACATGCATGGTGCCTGCTGGGGGCAGCCTGTTAACAGCACTCCTGCTGTTAACAGGATAACAAGAATTTCCAAAATATGGGATCAATATAGTTCAAATGTATTTAATTTTATTTATTATAAGCAGCTGACAACTATCAACTTCTCTTTTATAATCAGTATAATAAAAAACACACCTACAAAATCATCCAAAAACTGCAATCGGTTCTCTCCATATATTATTTTTTAGCATGTCTAAAATATTACGGTTTCTCCTATAGAACAGTGTTCAGTGACTCACAGCTTTGTCCAGGAAAAGCTCATCTTTCGTCAGGTGGTAGGTGCTCAGGAGGCCTCCCAGGATACGGATGGTGCTCTCAAAGAGGTTAACATCCACATTCTTGTTGAATGAAAGCTCAGTAGCCACCCATGCTTTTGCTTCTTCAAATTCTGGAACATTACGTTAGACCGTATGACTAATCTCAATGCCATTCACTCAAATCGAACCGGTTCCTAACAGTAACACTGACCAGCAGCTCTTTTGGCTAACTTTATGAAGCCCTAATGCCAAAACACAGAGGCACAATGGCCACAGACACTTTAAATTGTTTACAGCTTAGTATTAATTGTTTTAGGAAATACCTTTGTCAAGTGGGTGGAAGCTGTATGGGTGCCAGTCAGTATTTTACACAACAACTCTTTACAAAAAAATCTTTTAAACATCCAGAATGTTTGCTAGTATATTTAGAGTTCTAAGACATCTACCTTCACTAAGTCCCATGATCCACATGGTGTCCAGTGAGTCAATCAGCGTCAAACCAAGGCCAAACCATTCGTTGTAGGATTTAGAGACAGGTCTCAGTTCATCATGACCCCAAGAAAACTCTTTATAGCCCTTCCACGCATGTTTAAAGGCTTCTTGTACTGCTTTTGGCCAGGAAGTTTCTGGAAAACACAATTCACCCAAGATCTGTGAAGTCTCAAAAGGCCTACCATACTCTGTCACACTATAAAGTTCATGTGACTGATGGATTTGCTTGAATTTTTTTTATTTGAATCCCTACCTATCTCTTTAGATAATTTCGCTGAATCTTCTTTTTTCGCGTCCTTGGCTCCTTCCGTGGTTTGGTCAGTGTCAATCACTGAACCGCGCCAGCTGGAAATCATCAGTGAAATGTCAATAAGACAAAGACATGGACTAACTCAACTCTAGTTGTGATAACACTTCATCATTTACCTGATAACTCCCTCCTCCCTCTTCCTCTCCCCATCCTTCTTGCCGGCTGCTGCTGTGTCTGATGAGTTTTCTTTTTTTTTAGAATGATTCTGAAGCAGTGGTGGTCCTCTCTTGTTGTATTGATGTCTCTGTAGACAAATTATATCATTACTGGGGCTACCATTAATGGCTTTTTTTTTTTCAAAAATCTTTCTAATACCATCTACCAGGTTTGTCATCTACTATTTTATTAAGCCATGTATGATTTCAGTTGCTAAACTGAATAATAACCTAAAATTCTCTGGTGCTACTGTCAACATGCTGACATTTGACAATTACAATTACTTTGCCAATGTTCCTTGTCATATTCAGAAAGATTGCTCATATGCATAGCATTTTAATCACTTCTTTTAGACACGCTGTGAATTTTGTCAGAAGAAAAAGCAAATATTAAAACCTGGGGTAGTTTTTCAGGCAGCAATGGCTGCTCCTGTTTGACAGGTTCTTCCAGCACATGAGGAATGGCAGGCTTCTGGATGCTGTGATTGTCTGTGTTGTGTTCACCATCTGTAAGGCCCATACAAAGTGCTGGTGAAATGATGACATGTATAAAAACATGTTCAGTTACGCTCTAACCATGCCTCCCCACTCCCGTAACTATTAACCATTCATAAGCATCAAGAGAACATTTTAACTATTACAGTGTGATTGACAGGCACATCAACCTTCACCATCAAATTTCTTAATTTAAGGGAACACTGTAAACGTAACATTCTGTTTATTTCGCTGAAGTAATAAGTGATAAGGGTTGTTGTTGTGACTGTACACTGGACTGTAAATACAATTTGCTTATATGACTTAGACTTAACACCAGGAGTTGTATTTTCTATGGAGGAATCCATATTGGAATGTAATGTTTTTACTTTAATGTTTTTAATGCTTGTGTGTAAAGTTTCCTGTGAGTGTAGGTAAATGCCCTCTTCTACCTTGTTCTAGGGGCATGTCAGGAAGTTATTTTAAAGGTTTCATGTTTGAAGAGCCTTACCTCTGAGATGTTCAGTAACAGTAGGATAGACTGCAAGTCCACAAATAAACAGAAGCATGAGGATGAAAAGGATGAGGCTCCGCTGCAGGCTGGAGAGCTGCTTCCATTTCTGTTGGCAAACAGAAGAGATATTAAGAATTAATTTTGTTAAAGCAAAATTTAGTACGTAGTAAATACCGCGTGCTTGTGCAGTGGGCAGCTTAAGCTTTACTCATTGGTAAATCCACTCTCTGATCAGTAGAGAAAGACACCACTTAGTTTCCAACAATCTCTCCAGATGGACAAATGTAAAATCAATGAGGCTAAAGACTTGGATGTTCCAGTGTCAGCTGTTACTACCAGAAGTGGAAACTAACAAATTACATGTACTCTTACAGTGTACCTTCTATAATTCAGTAGTTGTGAGTAATTTGTAATTTTTTAAGTCGTTTCGGGAATAGGTAATTTAACTTTAACTTAAGTACATTTTGACTCAAGTATTTTACTTTGAAAAGAACCTATTACTGAGTAAAAAAATTAAATGTAGGGA